GCTGACGCTGCGCCCGCAGAGCCGCCGAGCGGGAAGTGGGGGGCTGTGGTCCTTAAACCGTCTCTCGACCATGGTGGTGAGGCCGGCCGGCAAGCCCAGGTGCGGGAAGAGAATGTGTGAGTAGCGGTCGCGGGGATCCGAGGCAGTAGCAGGTGGGCTGCAGCGGCCCGGCCTGGAGCCGTCGCGCGGTGGGAGCGCTCAGCTGTGGGAGCCGTTGGTGAGCCCTGTTCTCTGTGGACAAGGCTGGTGCAGAGAACACGAGCGTCGTTCTTCTCTCCGTGTTTCGGAGCCCGTCTGTCTTCTCGTAACACGCGGCTGGACAAGAGCAGAGGCCGGCGAGCGTGCAGCGGGGGGTCCGGGAGCTGGGGGCGGCGACTCAGTGGGGAGATGGTGGCACGAGTGCTGGGCGGGGGGGGGGGGGGCACGGACGACCTGGAGCAAGGCAAGCTTTCTGACGTGAATGGTGGGACAGTGGACACACGGGGGACGTGGGGTGGGCCTCGTCCCTGGGGGACACAGGGGGACATCGGGTCGGCTCCTGGACTCTGTCCAATGTCCAGTCCTGCCCCCACAGAGCAGCTGGCCTCTTGGGGCTGACCCCCTGCCCTCCTGATGTCCCTCCCACGCCCTCCCCGCAAGGCCACCACATTTCCACACGTGTCCTGCACGGCCCAGCACTGGTCTCGCCCTCCCACTTGGGAAAGCCAGACCCTGGGGACGGGACCCTGCACCCAGCTGAGGCTCCGAGGCCAGGGGGTGACACTCAGAGTGCGAAGGGGGTGATGCTCTGAGTGCAAAGGGGGTGACGCTCCGAGGCCAGGGGGTGACACTCTGAGTGCGAAGGGGGTGACACTCCAAGGCCAGGGGGTGACGCTCCGAGTGCGAAGGGGGTAATGCTCCCAGGCCAGGGGGTGATGCTCCGAGTGCTAAGGGGGTGACGCTCTGAGTGTGAAGATTCACCCCTTGGTTCCAGGCAGTGACGCCCGGACAGGAGGCCCCGAGGCAGCGCTGAGGGGCAGGCAACGGGCTCCCACTCAGCTGACGGCCATGCCTGTGGGGTCACACCAGAAGGGCCCCACTCTGCTGGGTGACGCCTGTGGCTGGGCCAGGGGCTCAGCCAAGGTGCTCCTCAAAGATGGAAGTACCCCCTGGGCCGCAGCCCCCTGCCCCCCTCACGTGGAGAAGGCCTATGTGGCTGGTCTGGACTCAGGGTTCAGCCAGCAGGCCGAGCAGTGTAACTTGCTCCCCCAGGGGTGCCCCACCGCACCTGAGCCCGGGGCAAGCACGGGGGCAGGGATGAGGGGCTGTGCGCTCTTGTCACTGTGATGGGGACGTCCCCCCGAAGCCACCAGCCACCTTGGTCGAGCTGGAATTTCCTTCCCTCAGCCTCATCACCGAAGCAGCACAGGTGTCGAGGGTACCCCACCCCCAAACCTAACCACCTGTGGAAATTAGACAGCACGCTTCTATGCAACCAATGGACCAAAGGGAAAAAAAAAAACAAAAAATAATCAGGGAAATTGGAAAATACTTAAAATGAGTGGAAAAGCTGCAGCCCCAGACATGCGGGCAGAAGCATCTCCCGAGAGAGATTCATAGCTGTGAGCGTCTACGAAGAAGGAAGAAAGATCTCGAGTCACTCGGCCAACCTGACAGTGGCGGGAGCGGGAACGATGAGGAGCGGAGGGGCTCCGGGCAGAAGGGAGTGACGAGGGCTCGGGCCAGGAGAGCACCAGAGAATGGATGAGCCCCAAGCTGGTTCTTCCAAACAATCAACAAAATGGGCCACGCGTCGCCAGACGGACTAAAACAGAGAGAAGACTAGAACTGTGCAGCAGTTCTGGCCCAAGCAATTAGGCAAGAAAAGAAGTAAAAGCCCCCGAACTGGACAGGAGGAAGGAAGCTGTCCCAGAGTGCCCATGACACGGTCGTACAGACACGACCCAAGGGGAGCCACAGGAAAGCTCATGCACAGATTCAGGAAATCCCCAGGACCGAAGACCAGCCCACAAAATCCAGCTGTTTCTACACACGAGCAAGGATCAACACCAAGAGAAGATGAAGAAGACGATCCCATTTACAGTAGCATGAAAACAAGGCTTAGGGAAAAGTCCCCGCAGGCGGCGTGAGACGTGTTCCCCGAGAGCTAGAAGTGTTGCCGACAGAAGTCACGCGGACCCAAATAAACGGAGAGCTGTCCTGTGTGACGGGGTGGATGCTGTTAATGTCAGCGTGTCAGGCTCTGTACCTGCCAGGCAACCTCCATCAAAACTCCAGTGGCCAACTTTGCAGAAATCGAAAAAATGATCCTGATATTCACGTGGAATTGCAGGGGACCCTGAGTAGCCAGAACAATCTTGAAACACAAGCTCCATCTATCCTCTCTGGCCCTGGAACTGGCCCTAACAGGAAGGCAGCAAGCCTGACCCCGGGAGTCAGGGCCTCGGCGGGGACCGGCCCCTCTGCTGAGCAAGGACTGCTCCCAGGGCGAGATGCAGTTCTACCCCAGAGTCCTTAAAACTTTATGTGGCTGCGGTTTTCTTGAAATCTCCAAATGGGCTTGGTTTTCCCCAAAGTTGAGCAGAGGGGCCCGTGGATTAAGCGGGCAGATCCCAGTGCGGGCTCTCGGGCCCCATGGACCAACTGGCCACGAGATCAATGTAAGAAATTAGACAATTGGGGGGCGCCTGGGGGGCTCAGTCGGTTGAACGTCCGACTTCAGCTCAGGTTATGATCTCACAGTTTGTGGGTTCGTGCCCCGCGTCGGGCTCTGTGCTGACAGTTCAGACCCTGGAGCTGCTTCAGATTCTGTGTCTCCCCTTCTCTCTGCCCCTCCCCTCCTCATGATCTGTCTCTCTCTGTCTCAAAAATAAATAAATGTTAAAAAAATTAAAAAAAAAAGAAATTAGACAATTGGCCCCTTGTTTCTCAAAAAGCTGCAAGCTCTGAGTTCATACAGAAGGTTTGAACCCACAACTGTTTTCTCTTCTCATTGGAGAACCACGGAGGGTGGACACTGGGGCCCCACCTGCAGACTGTGGTACCAGCTCTGGTCGCTGCCTGTGTTGCCTGGGCCTTGCCTAGGGTCGCAGGACATGCCGTATGGTCGGCTCGGCATTCAGCATATGGTGTAGCCTGGGGGCCCTTCCCTCCCCAGAAGACTCCGGGACTACATTTGTGCTGACGTGGGTGTGCACAGGCTATTCCGTGGTGCTGGGCATGGGGTCAGGGACCCAGCGAAAGGGCGCCCAGTGGGGGCCAATAGGAAGAGCCATCGCTGGTAAGGACGGCCCCTGCTGGCGTTGGGCCTGCGGTGAGTGCGATGGCAAGTGGAGCGGGCTCGGAGAGGAAAACACTCTGGTCCCCGCCTTTGGGGTCCCCAAAGTGGACCCCAGGCCAGGGGTGGCCAGAGAAGGCAGGGGGAAGAGTGGGCTTTCAGCAGAGCCCAGAGCCAGTGTCCCCACCCTCCCATCTGAACCTGCCTAGGGAGCTGTTTCGATCACATGGCCACGTCCCCCGCGCCCAGCGTCCAGCTTTTTGTACCAAAGAAGGAGACATGGGGCACAGGTGCCAGTGGTTTCTAGGCAACACCACAGAAGGAGTAAGTATCCCAGAGTGACCTGCAGCTATGACGTGGCCAGCTTAGTGCAGAGCCACCAAGCCCAGACCCCTCTCGTCCTGGGTCCCTCTGAGCCCCCTGGGCTCATGGTGCATGGAGCCCATGTGCCCCCAGCCCCAGGCCCCCTGAGCCCACAGCCCGCGGAGAACAGAACCACCGAGGCCACAGCCCACGCAGAACAGGGCCGTCGAGCCCACAGCCCGCAGAGAACAGAACCACCGAGGCCACAGCCCACGGAGAACAGAACCACCGAGGCCACAGCCCGTGGAGAACAGGACCACCGAGCCCACAGCCCGTGGAGAACAGGGCCGTCGAGCCCACAGCCCGCGGAGAACAGAACCACGGAGCCCACAGCCCGCGGAGAACAGGGCCGTCGAACTGCAGGTCTGTTGCTCCTGGAAGCACCTGGAAGCCTGGCTCAGTTACAAGCATTTTGAAGCCGTCAGAGAGAGAAGTGCCAGAATGCTCCGTGGCGCCCATCTCATTTTCCAAAAATTTTCAATCAATTATAGACCAGGAAATTCATTTTGAGAGTGATTTTTAAGCCCTGGGGCCCTGGGGCCTCCCTGGCAGGAGAAACGAGGCACTGAAGTCCTACGTCCCTGGTCCCGTTGGTCACGGGAGCTGCGTGGCCAGTGGCCTGCTCCCTTCAGAAAATCAGGCAGTGTCGGGAGCCTCTAGCGGAGGTCACTTTGTTTATTGAACGATGAGGCCGCAAAATGAGTTCTGACGGGTTTCAGGGGCACGGTGGTGCTCCCAGGTGGCCCTTCAAATTTGGACCCGGACAGAGCTCAGCCCAAGGGGCTGGGTGTCCATGGCCCCGGGCCCAGGCCACAGCCTCCCAGTGACATCCTCTGCCCTTCACGGGGACCATCTGTCCACTCCGAACCCTCCCAGCTTGACCGAGTAACAGTCCACTGGCTGGACAGGGGTCCCTCTCCAGACCCATCTGCCACCAGCCCTGAAAGGCCCAGGCCACGTGGCCACCTTGGGGTCGGTGACGGAGCTGTCCCCAGCTAACGAGCAGGTACCTTGGCTCATTGAGACCCATGAACGAACCGCCACTGAGACCAAAGCACTGACCCACCGGCCAGGGCTGTTTCCGCCGTAGGCCTGGTGGCATGGAGCTCCGGAGCAGAGGCCCGGCCCAGCCGGCACAGGGACACAGCGGCCCCTGGACCCGCCGATCTGGCTCCAGCTCCGCCCCAGCACCCCGACATCCCCTCCCTGGTCCCCCCCGGTCTGCCCCTACCCCCAGCGCCCCACCCTGACCCTGGCCACCTGTGCAGACCGGATTGTCCTCGGACCCCGTTTCCCCGTGAGCCAGCTTGCCGAGACGCCCAGAAGGTAGCCCAGGCGGCCAGGCACGTGTGCTCGGTACCTGAGCAGGGGCTGCCTGGGGTATGGAGGCTGGTCTGCGCCCGGACACGGTGGGGCCTTCTTGGTCACCTGCTTGTAGATATTCCTGGCGGTCACCCCAATCCACAGCATGGTGGCGAGCGTGGAGTAGTGCAGCAGGATGCCCACCTGCGGGGAGAGGCCGGTCAGCACGCCGCCCTGGAGGCCGTGTGCTTTCCGAGGCCTGGGTCTGAGCCCTCCTGCTCCCTTCACATCCTCGGGAGGCTTGACAGTGCCAGGGGACCCGCAGGGGGGCACACGGGGGTCCCACTCAGGGCAGGTGTCCCCTTCCCAGGGAGGTGCACGGGCCGCCAGGACTCTGGCACTGGCCAGATCTGCACCCTGCTGAGAGATGGGGCTGGGAGCCCCCGGGCCTGCACACACGGCACCCCGGGCGTCTGTGTGAGGCTGGCCCCGTAGGTGCCCCTTGACAGCAGGTACGGTGCCCGCACACGTGCCCGTGGCCAGCCTGGCCCAGACGCGGGGGCCTGAGGGCTTCAGGGAGGATGTACTCTGGGCTGGCCCCCACACAGGTGCCACCAGCTGAGGGGTGGGAGGCCCTGTAGCAGGGGTCTCCCCACGAGGCTGATGGGGGGTTGCATGTGACATAAAACACTTTCCAGATCAGCCGCTGACGTCCGTACCCATAGGCGCAGCGGCTCGTTGCTGTGGAAGCTGCTGGCCGAATTGATCCCCCTCCCCCAGCACTTACTGCGTTAGCTAATCATGCATCCCCTCCTTTGTCTCCACCTGGTTCTAGAAAACGAGGTTACCTATGAAGCAAGAACCTGACATTTCACAAGGACAAGTAAATTATGGCTGTGATTGGAAAGGGCATAAATGTTTAAGGAATACAGAGATTCCTCTGAATAAAGCTAACATTACATTATAACCATTAATTGGATCCAGAGTTCAGTTTTTACTTATTAGAAAACCCAAAATGACCAAGGAGAATAGGATGGGTGGGGTGGGAGCCCCAGGACTGTTTGTGGGTCGGAGGGGTCCCTGCACACGCCTGCTGCGGCCAGCCGTTTCCGCAGCCTGGCCTGGCCTCCCGCAGGTGCCCGTGTGCCGGTCCTCACGCCAGCCTGGGAGCCGGGGGGCAGGCACTCAGCACCTGAACCAGAAGGGAGGAAGGGACACGTCCGCCTGCCTCTCAACGGAAGGATCTTGGGCTCTCTGTTGAGGGACAGCAGCGTGGCCATCACCACAGGTGACTGGAAACAGGTGCTGAGGCCGCAGAGGAGCCCCAGGGTCAGGAGGGGGTGGGAGGAGCCGGCTGCTCTGGGGCTCGCCCGCATGGCGCTCGCTGGGGGCTGCGGCCTCCGCCTCCCAGACACCACTTTAGGCTGGACACACGGAGGGGTCATAGGACCCCGCCCTGGCTTGTGGACAGGGCTGCCGCCATCCTGGGGAGGAGACACCCCAGGCGGCCCGCTCTCAGCCCCAACCCGGCGCTGACGCACGTCACCGTGTGGGACCACCGGCGGCCGGCTGTTCGTGCTCACAGTGTCACTCAGGACTCTAATGAGGTTCCCGGTCATCTTCCTGTTGCCATAGCGACCGTCTGTTCTCCAGCCGGCCAAGCTTCGGGCCACAGAGCGTAAGTGTGAGCCACACCGGGACAGGGAAGGCTGGCCGGGGCGTCCTGTTTTCAGACACCAGGGTGGTGACACGTTTGTCCCTTGTCAGCGTGGGGGCAGGCCTGGCTGCCCACCGGAGGAAAACCACATTTATCACGAGTCGGCTTGTGGAGATGTGGAGGCTAAGAAGAGAGACGGATGTCGCAGCCGGGACGGGCATGGAAGAGTCCCTCCTTCCTCTGCCATCGTCCCCAGGCCCCCGCTGGAGTGTATGAGCCCCGTGATGGGGAGGGCACCTGCCTGGGTCGGTCTACTGGTTACAGCCTTGACCGCATCCACACCCGCACGACGTGCCCAGAATGACGTCGGCCCGGTGATCAGTCAAGTCGCCACATGAAAGCTAACTGTCCCAGCTTCTGACACTCTGGTTTCCCAGCTGTGCCTGCCCGGGCCTGCCTCCTCTGCAGCGAGTAGTGGACACGGTGTGCGTGCTGGGTTACCGTCCGTTACAGTAATGACGCTTCTGTCTTCGTCTGCAAGGCACAGGCCTGGCTTAGAGAAACGTCAGGGAGTCACTGGGAGAACGTCACTGGGAGGGCTCGCTGGGGTCTCCAGCACGGCGCCAGCCCTGTTCCTCACCTGGCCCAAAGCTCTGTCCTCTCTCTAGTCACACGATACTCTCTGCAACCACCCCCACCCCCCCTGCCAGAAAGCTGGGCAGTGCAGCCACGGTTAGTGCGGCTCTGCTCGAAATTTTCGAAAGAATGACTAAAGGTATCCTGCCCCCGCTCCCGAGGAAACTAGTCCGGGGCTCAGGGTGGGATCAGATCTCACAGGCTGGCTTCCTCCGAGGTGGGGGGGGGGGTCCTGAGGACGGTCACCACCAGAGAATCGATGTTTCTCATGTCACCATGACCTCTACAGACCTTGCCTCTCTGGGTCCTTCCAGAGAACCCTGCCCCATCTGCCACACTCCAAGGGTGTCCACCGGCTGCCTGGCCGTGGGGGCCGCTGGCCTCCAGGAGCCTCCATCCAGGCTGGAGCATGGACATAGTTCCCAGGCTTTCAGGGGGAACGGGCTCCCCAGTGGCTCTGAGCAGCCTGGGGTAGGGGGGCTGCAGCAGGCTCCTCACCGTGAGGGTCCCGGCACGGCTGTGAAGTGTGGCCGAGTGCGACATGAAGATAACAAGCCATTTCACGGCCTTCAGCCGGCTCGCCCCTCAGCAGGCACTTGCGGGCGGAACGCAGGTTGGATTTCCCGGGCGCCCACTGTGGCTGCCTCCACAGCCACCTGAAGGCCCAGGGAAGCGTGTCTGCCCCAGCGTGGTTTTCAGTTCTGTGCCGGCAGCTTTGTGTGGGGGCCAAGCATGCGTGGCAGAATCCGGCTCCCGGTGGGGCGCTGGCCTGGATGCGGATGCGCGGGTCAGCGAGCTGGGCGGGCGGCGGGCTGCCTGGGCCTTGGGGCAAGGTGCTGCCTGGCGGCCAGTGCCTGGGGCAGGAGCTCACAGCCTGATTCTTCCCTAGGCCACCGCTGCGTGAACAGCCTCTCCCCCTCCTGCTGTGCAGGGGATGGTCATCTTGTGTGCACACACTGCCATCAAGGTCGCCACAGGCACACGTGAGTGTCCGGTAATTAGGACTCTGCAGCTTCCATGCCATCGATGAACGTCTGTAGGATTCACAGCAACAGAGGCTGTAGGGGAGCAACGTGAATGCCGGAGATGCCAGGCTGAGACCCGCCCACCACGTGGCCCGGGGCAGAACCGGAAGGGAGGAGGCCTTGGCAACATGCTCTTCAGTCCATGAGGAAGCCTCCATTTGGCTCCTGCCTGGGCACCAGAGGAGACTGTCCGCCTGGAGGTCACTGTCCGCCTAGAGGTCACTGTCCGCCTGGAGGCCACTGCCCGCCTGGAGGTCACTGCCCGCCTGGAGGTCACTACCCACCTGAGGTCACTGTCTACCTGGAGGCCACTGTCTACCTGAAGGTCACTGCCCGCCTGGAGGTCCCTGTCCACATAGAGGTGACTGTGTACCTGACGTCACTGTCCACCTGGGCTGAGCTGGAGCCATGAGGGGGGGGTCTCATCTCTCTCTGAGACTTGGGTGTGGGGCCGCCTGTCCTGGGCCAGGGCCACACAGTGGAGCAGAAAGAAGTGGGTGCTGCTGGTGGAAGGGCCCCCTCAGAGCTGTCGGGACCCAAGGGCATTTCCCCCCTTTTTAAAGAAAAGTCCGTTGAGGCCACGGAGAGGAAAGAAGGCCCTTTGGTGACTTGTCCTCAACGCTGCAATGTTCAGAAGTCCCCGTTCTACATGAGAGGGCGCAGAGCCCCTCCGAGGGAGCTCCGTGTGGGGGGCGGGGCCTCTGTGCCTGGACTCACCGGCCACCTGCTGGTGACAGAGACACCCGGACGGCAGTGGGGGGGCAGGTGGCCCCGACTCCGTGCTCCCGACCTGGCCAGTCTCTGGGGGGGCAGCTCCCGACCCCACTCCTGGGACTGGCACTGCTCGCCGTACAGGGAGTGTTCAGTTGGCAAAGCATCAGAGGCCCCGGAGCCAGCGGGCCAAGTGGAAACAAGTTACCTGACCGACCCGGGGCTGAGGGAGCCAGTCAGCCTCACGTGGGGGAGGGGCTCTCATACAGGTGCCCTGGGTGCTGAACGATTCCCTCCAGGAGACACATCTGAACAAAGACTCGAGTGTTATTTCATGAACAAGACAATTATCACACATTTCCCCTCTGGTAGGAGCGGCGATAAACACTTTAAATTTTGTAGCAAAACAAGGGCATGACGGCACTCACCGCCTGGCACAGGATCGGGTATTTGGTGCGGTTCACGCCACCGGCAAATACCGTGAAGGTCAGAGCTGCGTGAAAGCAGAAATTCAGGAGCGTGTGCCGGCCTTTGCGGCTGATCCGGATGGCACTGCGGGAAATGGAGACATACCATCAGGACCCGGCATTCAGGGTGAGGTGTGCAGGTCGGCCTGCACCCCCAGCTGTGTGCTCCATCCCCACGGAGGCCGAGCTGAAGACCCCCAAGGTGTGACAGAGAGAGGCCGGGGGAGCACGCCCAAAGGACCAGATGGACAGGAAGACACAGGGACTGTGCTGTGCGTGGCTCAGTGTATGACTGTTGGACATTTTGTATTAAATTGACTTGGAATACTGGACTGAAGAGTTTTGAGAAATCTCAAACCTGGTCATTGGATAGATGCTGATGCTGAAGCCCAAGACTTTACGCCTTGTCTGGTCACAGAGATAGAGGGTGGAAGGGACCCCCTGGCCACACCTTGTGCTTCCCAGGACGGAATTCTTCCCTCTCTGAGCAGGTGTCTGGTACCTCCAGAAGAGGGCATGACTGAGTGGCTGGAAGCAAGACCCCTGTAGTCTGTGGACCAGAACCTTGCCTACGGCTGTGACCATGTCCATGACTTGGCCTCACCCTGGCTATGGCCGAGGCAGAGATTACTCAGCCTATTCCTACAGCTGTGACTGTGGCCACAGCTTCTCCATGGCCTTGGACATGCCCAACACTCTCCCCATGATCATGGCCTTGGACACGCCCACGCCTCTTCTCATCACTGCGGTTATGCCCACCATCTAGGCTTTGCTCATGACTTTGATTATGGGCTTGATCGTGACCATGGCAGAGACCCCTCCTTACATTTCCCAGTGCATCTTCAAGTGATGCAGACACCACCAGGTCATTTTTCCTCACAGGCAGAGGTGGCCAGGAAACAAGCTCAGAAGAAAAACAACTAGATGCTCCCCCCCACCAGATTAAAAGGCACAACGCAAAGGTGTGTGAGGGGTCTGCAGCTATGCTAACTTCCCAAGGATGTGGGCTCTCAGAGCACCTGAAGTGACCCCGGGCCATCGGAGGAAGAACCTATTTCACCCAATTCGATAAGAACACAGATGCCACTGGTGGAGCCGTGGAGTGGAAGGGCATGGCTGTCCTCGGGCACTTGGCTGCCCTTGGCTGCCACCAGGGCCACGCCTGGTGTGTTGGCAGGCGGTCCGTGAAGTACCTTCCAGGGACTTGTCACTAAGTGAGGAGGGGTCTCGTTTTAGGGTTTGGGTCTGAAGGTAAAAACATGCCGTCCTGATGCAAAGCGGGGCCTTACTTCTGGTGCACGATGTAGGTGATGACGGAGGCAAGCAGGCACAGCAGCATGACGGCGGTGCAGGCGTACACCACGGGGTGCAGGAGCTCCCCTGGGTGCTGGGGCAGGGACAGCACGGTCTTCAAATCCTGGAAAGAACACAGCAGACCAAGTGGGCAATGTGGCCGAGGGACTGTGCGCCTGGCAGAGCTACCTGGCTCCCCTCCACCCCCGGGTCTGGCCTCTCCCCTGCACGTGGTCAGAGGTGCCTTCTGAGGGGAGCGGAGGTTTGTGACGGGTGCCCCACTTCCTTGGAACGCACCTGTCTCCCAGACCTGCCCGCCCGAGGGTCTGGGTGGAGGCGGGCAGACGCCCCGCCTCACGCACATTGAGATTCTGCTTTACACGATGTCCCAGGAGAATTTGTGTCAAGCGAGTCCCGGAGCTGACTCAAGTCAGTGGAGAAAGGGCAGTTGCCGCGATCGGTCTGCGGGCCTCGAGCCCTCAGGAGGGCGCCTGCCTGGCCGCGTGTCACAGCCCAGGGTTGAAGGCCAGCGAGCAAAGGAGCACATGCGGATGGGGGGCGGGAGAGGAGGGGCAGGGCCGCTGGCTGGACACACGTGAACCGAGGGAGGCTTTGTCTGTTTATCCATCAGACAAGGGAGGTGACTCTTAGTCGGCACAAAGGCCCAGAGGTAAAAAAATACCCCACTGGCAGCCCCAGGACCCCGTTCCCAAGATGTTGCCGATAGCAAAAACGGCCGTAAAGCGCATCATCACGTGGGCGGGTTTGCCAGTCCCGTGCTCGAAGCTCCACAGCCTGGTGATTTCCGCGCCGGAGGAGGGGCCCCAGGGTGTGGACCCTCGGCTGCTGTGCAGGCTCCGTGGGCTGGGAGTCCAGAGCCCTGGCCTGGGGCACCCCCGACCTCTGCCCTCTGCCCTCCCCCCCAGGAACGCTCCAGATGCTTCCTGTGTTATAACTCTGTGCGCTGCGGGGAAGCCCTGAACCGAGTCCCTAAAAGCACAGGCTGACGTCCCCGTGCCCCATGGGACCAGCGGAGGCGGCTTTCGCGGAGGCCACGGCGATGACAAGAGGCCGTAGGGTGAGGCTTTGTTTGACAGACCCGTGTCCTCATAGGAAGGAGACTAGGACGTGACCTGCCCAGGGGGAGGCCATTTGAGGACACAGCAGGAAGGTAGCCGTCTACACGGCAGGGCCTCCAGAGAAACAGCCCTGTGACACCTGACCTTGAACTTCCAGGCTCCAGGACAGAGACAAAGAAGATTCTATACTTTAACCTGCTCTGTCTGGAGTGCTGGTTACAGATCTCCTGGCCCGCCAAGGGGCTCTGGAGATGGCCCCCCACCCCTCCCCAGGGCGCGGGTTGTGCCCCCCAGCCCCCTCCCTGGGAGCTGGTGACGCCCCCGCCCCCGGTGTGGGTTGCAGCTGCCGTAGCAGACGGACACACCCTGTTGGGTGGTTGCTCTTGCTCCTCCTTCCCAGATCAGAGGGTGAAGCCCTTTCTTGACCCCTCAGCTCATGCTCTGAACCACAGCTCTGCCCCCACAGCCCCTGGGGCCTGCCTGGCCTGGGGAGGGCAGGCGAGGGCTGGTCCCCACAGAGGCGGCCCGAGCACCCCCAGGAGCCCTGAGAGCTGCCCAGTTGTGACGACAGGCTGTGGTCGGGCTGGGGGTCAGCAGCCTTGCCAGCTCTACCCCCCACAGCCGTGCCCAGGGCGGATGCGCCCACCCCGGGGCTGAGCCCATCTGGATGCGTGAAGGCTCCTCCCTGGGCGGTCAGCGCAGCGGGCGGCGGCCGGCTCCCCTCCAGGATGGCGCCCCGCCTGAGTCACGCGGGAACACGAGAGAAAACCATCCTTGAAGGGCCCTTGGCCTCGCCATGGCCGGGACGCCGTGTGTCCAGGAGCTCAGGCTGCTTCCTTCCCTGGGGGGTGGATTCTTGTTTGTCCAGCTGAGACGAGGCCCTGGCCAGCCGGGGAAGGTCGGCTTCCTCACAGAGACTTCCGGGGACAAACAAGGCCGCCCTGGGGTCCAGCCATGGCCTCTGCACCCTGACCTGCTCCTCCAGGGACTTCTCTGAGGAGGTCTCTCTGCTGCCATGGCAATTGCAGATGGGATCCTGTCACCAGGAAAAGGTGCCGAGTGACCTGGACACGAGCGGGACTCCTCCCTGTCTGACCGCTGGGATCTAGTTACTGCCAAAGCCAGAAGTAGCGCCCCTGGCCCTGCAGATGACCAGAAGTGACCGAAGGGGGGGCACTGTGTCACTCGGCAGACTGTAGGCTGGACTCCATGGCCGTCCCCATATAGACTATCCTCGGGCCAGGAAGCCTGAGGGCAGGTGTGGACACGCACAGAACGCCGAGTCCCATTGAGATGACTGGGGTTTCAGCAGGATCCACGCTGCACATGTGGCCCCAATTCCCCCCTAAAATTATGAGCCCAGGAGGAGAGACAGCCAAGTATGACAAGGTGACAGGGATCCAGGCTCCAGGGCCCTCTTGGGAGAAGTGGGTGCCCTGCCTGATGCGGCCGACCAGGGGGCCCCCGTGCTCAGCTCTGGGGGAGGGTCTGTGGCCTGGGTCCCCGCAGGGCTGCCTGCCCCGGCCACTAACCCGTGGCTAACGGAGGCTTCTTCCTAAGGCACACATGGCACACAGGCTTCGACAGCCAGGGAGGGCACCTGCTGGGCCCTCCATCCTGCAACCCAGAACTTCTGTCTGTGTGAGGACAGGCTTCTGTGGTACGCGACACAATTGCCTGTTGGTGAAGAACAGGTGGTTTTTTTAAAAAAATTTTAAATGTTTTTATTTATTTTTGAGAGAGAGACAGAGACAGAGTGCGAGTGGGTTAGGGGCACAGAGAGAGGGAGACACAGCATCTGAAGCAGGCTGCAGACTCTGAGCTGCCAGCACAGAGCCTGGATCGGGGCTCAAACTCACAAACTGTGAGATTGTGACCTGAGCCAAAATAGGACACCCAACTGACTGAGCCCCCAGGAGCCCCGAGGTCAGTGTTTTATAAGAAAGACGGGGCAGAGCCGGGGTCACAGCTGAACGGGCCTGCTGGCCTCCGGTAGACGGCCCGGTCTGCAGCAAGCGCTCACACATCCTTACCTGGCATCCCAAGTTCTGGAGCACTCGCCGCGCATGATGGCGGGAAGGGTGCTCGTCATGGTGCCAGAGAGCCCCAAGAGTTTGACGCTTGTCATGGGCAGCCAGTGCCAGCTTCCAGCCAATTGTAAGTCATTGCCAAAGTCGAGGAAAGCACGTTTCTGTGCTCAAATCCTGATACCGAACGATGTTCTCATGCCCATTTCTTCCGAGAGTTGACCGGGTGCAGACAGGCGTGGAGCAAGCCCGGCAGCCTATTAGAAAGTCGGGCCTGATCGTACCCCAGAGACACACCCAGGCCCTCGTGTGCATAATTCATTCTTTTTACGTAGACGATGGCTTCTAACCTAGTGTCTAAAAAACACTGACACTCTTCCCATGAAGCCTCCTGGCTGCTGGGACCGGCTTCCTGTGCACTACGTGCGAGTGGAGCCCGACCCCAGCCTGCTCTCTCACCAGCGTGCTCGGCACGCCTCGGGCTGGGGCCTGGGGTGCGCCCACCCCTCTGGGGACTCACGGTCCCTCATAGCCTTTCTTGGGGCTCCGTTGCCACTTCCCCAGAGACCCTCCACCTTCTGACCGTGTTCAGAGCCCTGAGTCCTGGCCGGAGGGGGTGGAGGAAGGTGAACCCTAAAGCGTAGTCTGCAGTGACGCGTGGTGTGTGGTGTCTCTGCCCTGCACGCATGCCCAGGGTCAGAGAACTGTGTCTGGTGCCCAGGACCCTCACCACAGAACTCACGTTCAAGTGCATCCTATTTGCCCAGTTTTCTCCACACGCGCTTCGTGTTGAGCCAATAGGAAACGAGAACCACCCGCCGTTCCTGCCACAGGCTGATGCGTCGGGAGGTCAGGTCAGGATGCAACACTTCCCGGGTGTGGCGCCCAGGCGGCCACTGCACGGCGAGGTCACCCTGCGTCAGGGCTGCGCTCTCGTCCGAGGGCCTGGTGTTGAGTGGGGCAGCGGGGGCCTCTGAGCCTTGAACCGCTGCACTAATAAGTGTGTTTTATAAGAAACAGAGCCTCCTCTTCTCTTCCTCCAAATTAGTTATCAAGGGTGCCTTTCTACATTTTTAGAGGTGACGTTTAAAATTCAAAATAGATGATGTAAAAGGGAGACACTATTTTATATTCTACAGTTCACACGTGCACCAGTTCCTCCTGGCGCCAGGGTCCCACAAAGTCCTCGTGATGCGCGGGGCTGACTCCCTGGCACACGTCCCTCCGGTGCCCTTCGGGCCAGAACGGGCCTCGCGTCAGAGATGCTGGGCTCAGTCCAGAGAGTGGCTCCTGCCGCCGGGGCCCCCAGCCCGCCGTCCCTGCTCACCGCTCTGCCTTTCCAAGCTGCGTGGACACGTCTGTCCTGAGAAACCCAGACTCCATCGCCCCACGGGCTGGGTTCTCCGCGGAGCCTGGAGGCCTAGAGCCCTGGTCTGCGGCTTGCTTGTGTTTCCCTGCTCCTGGGGCTTACCCTCCGTTTATGCTTTATTATTATCTTAGTTGGATGTGTCCTTTTTGGTATGTTCTGCAAATAAATCACTTAGATGTTAAGAGAGACAGGAAGAAAGGAGGTATTAGGTCAGGAGTCACCGGTCTGACAGAGACGGAGCCCCTGTGCCGGCAGCGGGCGCGGGGAGTGGCTCTTCCACCCGGGACACGCAGACCCTCCTCGCCGTCCCCTCTGCTCGGTTCCGTACTGACCGAGGCGGATCTTACTGTTAGTTCCCGACATCCCTTGTCTGTGTTCTTGACGATCACTGCATCTTATTGACCCGCCAGCCTTTGGTGACAGCATCCCGGGCGGCAGGCGGAGGCAAAAGTTGAATAATTTATTCCTCCGGAGCACAAATTACCCTCCCTGGACGTCACATCTGTACAGTTTGTGCACTTTTCTCTCATATTTTCCCTGTGCGAGCAATAGCGCGGCGGCTCCTGCTGGCCGGGGCTCACCGGCCTCGGGGGTTGACATTCAGGGGAGCATTGAGGGTGACACGGCCTCCATTTCTGGGGTGAAGGTAAGTTCATAAGTTTTTAGAAATTTAACTACGGGGCGGAATGAAGAGCAGAACCCGGGCCCCAGGACCCTTGTTGGCCGGCCAGAGGCGGTCAGGGCGCAGCCTGGAGGGGCCGCGCCGCACACACGGGTCTGGCCCAGTGGGGCCCCCTGCCCCCTGCCCCCACGGGCTTCCACGTCCATGGTCTTTCCAGGGATTTTAATTCCACTGTTGCTTTTTCGAATGCGGGGGGCTGGCATGCAGAAAAAGGGTCCTGAGCGTCCTGTGTCGTTGGGATTCCTCTGCTCCAAGCACAGTGCGGGGTGGCCCGGCTTCTCACCCTGTCCTGCCTTGCAGGCCCTGCTGGACGCCACGAAGGAGAGTCTGATGACACCGTGGTCAGCGCGGAGTTCAGGGCGAGGGGAGGTCTGCGGGACCCCGGCACCTGCCGGCACCTGCTGGGTGTAGGTCGCACAAAGCGGGGCTGCCTCTCGGGCTCGACGCTAGTGAGCAGACAGACGTGTCCTCTGGGGTCCCCTGCTGTCCCAGCGACCAGAGGAGTCCCCGTGACGCCTTGTCAGCCACAGGGGGTGTGGCCGGAGGCAGAGCTTGTGCAGAACGGACGTGGCCTCCCTCCCAGCGACCACACCGCTTCTTGGGTGCGCCACGAGACCTACACCACAAAAGGAAGCGGGAGGAAAGCCCACAGCCTCTCTCTCTCCGAGGTCTGTGGAGCGGACAACCCCCCCTCCCAAAGCTGTCCCCGAGCTCCTGTGAAGAGGAAAGTGTGAAGATCACAGAAGATCGCGGGCCGCAAAGGAATGCACGTGTTGGCAGCTGCTCGGAGGTGAATACTGACGGGGCCACTGCCTATGCCTGTCCTGTTTGCTAACAGCTGAGACGGTGGCCTGTGTCCTGCGGGCCTCACAGGGAGCGTCCGGGCTGCATGTGCCTTCACGGTCCAGCCAGAGCACTGAGGACAGACGGGGCACATGTCCGGGAGGGAGGACAGAGACTCGGAGCAGCACGGGCGTCCACGTGGACCCAGAAGTACTTCCGGAAGACCACGTGTCATCACACTTAGGATCCAGAAAGCTGGTGGCTGACCTCGGGTGTCCGGGAAGCCGACCACCAGCCTAAGGCAGGTGCCCTGCTGGGTGGGCAGGGACAGGCCCCCCTGCTGGCCACAGCCTCTGGTTTTCCTCTGCGCATTGCCTGGGCCCCTGGGGTGAAGCCACTCAGGTGCCTACACTACAGGCCCAGGGACACACGTGGGCCTGGATTCTCCATTTCTTCTGGAGGCTCTCCAGTGTAAATGTTATTTGTTAAGAATAAGACCCCAACAAACTGCTGAGACCCCAAACCCTCCTGGCAAGTGTAACCCGCCAGTTTTCAGTGTCCTGTGATACGCACTGTCCAGACACTGGGTACTGAAGGCAGAGTGTGGACGGGACGCAGGGCGGACGTGGGAGGGCCACACGGTGGTGCTCGGAGGGGCCGGGGCAGCTGCAGGCTCTCCCCCCAGCCCCCAGCCTCCTGCAGCACCTCTGAGCTCACCCTTTGTCTGCAAACGACAGTCAGGTTGCGCTTGCAAATAAGGCTCTAACATGAGGATGAGAAGCTGGGAAAATGTTGAGGGGGGAGCCATGCTGGGCAAGGCACCCGGGTCCCTTAAAAAGCTGGGGGCCCGACCAGGCTGGAGGGCTCCCCAGGAGCAGTGAGCCTGGACGCACAACCTCTAGGCTGCCCGGCATCCTCCTGGCCAGCGAGGCTTGGAGCCGAGGCACGGACGATGCTGAGTCTTGGCCACAAGCCCGACCTTGTTTGGGCGTCTCGAACAGAACAGGAAGGAAACGAACAAGTGACTCAGACAGACCCCCCCTCACACTCATAAAGCAGACAATCGGTGTGCATTTGAGTCATTGCTGGCGTCCGAGCCACGGCCGCTGCCGGCCACGTGTCCTGTGGCCATCGGCATTCCCTGCACGCGCTGGGCCCTCCGCCGTCCTTCACAAACACACACAATGCATTATTTACCCGGCCACCAGCCTTCCCGGAATGCAGGCCGATGGCCCTGCCCACAGCAGCCATGCCCCCTTTCCTGGTGAGAGAAGCGTCCTGCCCGTGTTTGCCATACGTGCTGCTGAAGTGCACCCACGTCTCCCTGCCGTTCAGCCCGCTTGCTGATGGGAAGGGGCTGGCGAGCTGCTATGGGGGGCTGTACACGACGGCCTCAGACCGGAGGGGCAGCGACCCCTGCTAGGGGCCAGGGAAGGCCTCCTGGGTCCTGGACCTGAGCCCTGGGGGGAGGGACACAGGTCCGTATCTCCTCCCGTGATTAAATGGCTCCACATTGCGGCACGCCTGCCACTAATTAGTATGATCGACGCCGAGCAAGCCCACAGCAGAGCAGCCAGCCGGCAGCCCTGAACACCAGGGGCTCACCTGACCACGTGGTAACTCCACAAACGAGGGTGGCCGCCCTTGGTGTGGCCGGGCCCCGCTGCCCGGGTTGGGGGGGCGTACTCACCATGAGCCCTGTGAAGCTCCTGCAGTGAGAGTGCCGGACGGAGTGGGGTCGCCGCCGGGCCGATTATGTGGCCCCCTCCTCCCTGCCGGCCTCCATGGCTGTCCCGAAGGTCAAGGTCCCACACAGTGGCTGTGGGGTCCAGCCCGAGGCCAGGGGCCTCAGGGTGATGGCGGGGTGGGTGAGGGTCACCAGGCTGTCCCCATCTGTGAAGATAGGGTACGGTTAGGGCAGAGCGGAGGGTCCCTGGCCTCAGCCCAGTGCTGGGCCCCCACGGCCATCCTGCCTGGCCAGCCGGTTGGAGCGTCGGGCTGGGGGCTTGGTCTCCAGGGGCGCGCGGGGGGCACACCGTGTCTGCCGGGCTGTGGTGCTGGCCCGCGGCTCCGGAGCCTCAGGGACCTCAGGTGGGACGTGCAGAGCCAGACGCTGCCTTCCCCACGTTGGGAGCCGGCCTCTGCTCACTGCCCAGCACACGCAGCTCAGCCCCGAAACATGTCTGTCAGCGTAAGTCAGAGAACTGAAGGAGCCTCCGCTCGCTGCACCCACAATCGGCCGGCCCCCCTGCCAGCAGACACGGGGCCGCGTCGCCCCCCAGATGCCCGTCTCAGTGGCGGCCCCGCGCCTTCCCCGGAACCCAAAGTTCTCCAGCATCTGCATCCGGAATAGCATCCGGAATAGCAGGAACCGCCCCAGCCCGCTTGCCGCTGATGCCCGAGAAACGGCTGGGGGAGTGGACGCTGCGGCCAGAGGGCTCGGACCCGGGGCGGGGGCCCCACCCGCCACCCCGGGAAACGCAGCTCAACTTCTCACCTATTTAGGCAGAGGCAGCTGGAGCGGTGGCGCTGTGCCGCGCGGTGCCGACCGGCTGTGGCGAGGTCTCTGTGCCAGGGAGCAGTTTTCCATTGCGAGCTAGCAAGTGGAGTTATCAACAGATTGCAAGACCGCAGCCCGGCCACGGCGCCACGGGCTCTGCACCGGAGACCGTGAGTCAGAGCCAGGACCGGCAGACATTCAATGCGATTCTCAGCGGGCGGCTTCCAGAACTCGGCGGCGTGGGGACCGCCAGCCGCCTCTGCGCCTGCTTGGGAGGGCGGGCGACAGCCGGGGCCGGCCCGGGGCCGGGAAGCAGGAGCGTAACCATGGGGATGGGGGAGGCGCGACGGCGCGGGCGGGCTGTGGCCCGGCTCCCTGCGGCAGGCGGGAGTGGTTCTTCCCAGCCACCGGCCGCCCGCCCGTCACACTGCAGAGCCGATTTAAAGAGACAACCGGCCAGGTTTTGCCTTCGCTTCCAAAAGAATTGGACAACTCACATTAAAATGCTTCCCGGAAAGGAGGCGGAAGGAGAACTGGACGATTTCACTTTATTTTGAAAGAAAATCCTTGTCCGTTGAAGGCTCCAGGAACAGAAATGTGAGCAAGAAACCCGAGTTCAGGGGAATTCTCATAGTCCTTTATATTAAAATGTTCTCAAATCCAAATTGCCCACGCCAAGGTGAGCCCACAACGTGTCCGTCCCAGTGTGAGCCAGCAGGCTGGTCCTGTCAGCGTGGGTGGGCTGTGGCCCCTGCACAGAGAGCCCCTGCCCCCACCCAGGGTCCTAGCCCAGCCCCCTGTTGGGCCGGGTGCTGAGAGGTGGGGGGCAGGTGAGACCCAGGGACGCGGGTGGGCTGCCCAGGGCTTCTAGCTCTGGGTCCCCAGGCAGGGATGGCTGGGGGGCTTGGGGACCATACTCAGCACACACACGTGAGCGTGGGGGGAGTCCACGCTCTTCCCTCCCGGCTTCAAGGTCAGGACACTGGTGCCTGCTTGGGAGAGCCCCCGGATTCTGGAGGGCCTGGGCCTGGACCCGGGGGGGGGGGCATCACTAAGATTAATGATTAATAAAAGCAGTTCTGGATTTCTCAGCCTGTAGCCCTGCCTCTGGGGGCCGTGTTCCTGGGGCCTCTCTGTGGGATGTGGTGATGAGGCCTGGGATTTGGACAAGGGATGTGAAAGCCAGAGGGGCGAAGAGTGTGTGGCAAAGTGGGTGTCCACCCCCAGGCCCTGACCGACCCTGGGTTCCTGGATTGCTCTCCTGGGGGTGGGGTCTCCCAGTTTGTGGTTCCAGACTGGAGGGCCCGCTGTGAGCTCGGGGTTCAGCCTAGACTCCTCCAAGCTGGGTCAGCCCCATGGGGCTTGTCCACCTGCCCATCCCTCCACAAAGACTGTCCACATTCAGGCACGACGTGAACACAGGCCAACCCCTGCCCAGAGATGGGGCTCCCGGCCCAGAGATAACAGAAGTGGTGGGAAGGACACAGGAGGGGACTGTGGTGGCTGCTGGTCTGTTGCTCAGTGCACAGCCTTGCACGCTGTCCCAAGAGCCTGGGATCCGCCCTGGCCTCACAGCAGGGGCGTAGGACCAAAGTCAGGGCCTCCTGAATCCCAAAAAGACAGCTTCTGGGAGAACTTACAGAAAAGGCTATTGGGAGGCAGTGGACGGGGCCAGCTCAGCCCTGGGGGCCCCCCCCAAGAAGCCCCTCCAGCCAGGACTCAGTGCTGCCCTCAAGGGGCATGTCCAGACCCTGCACTCTATGGCCTGGATCCAGCGGAAGCCACACCCAGAATGCACACCTGGTGCAGGTGGGGTCCCTTAGGAATTGCTGGGCTGCCGCACTGAGGGCTGTTGGGGGGGGGTGCTGTCCCTGCCCACCCACCGCTACCCTGCCAGCCTTCCTTTGGTGCCCAGGTGCCCAGCCTCGGGACTGCACACTGAAGGGCGTCTGCAGACCCAGGCCCCTGGAGCGGCAGGTGGTGGCGGGACACAGCATGCCCCCGCCCATGGCCAGAGGCGATATGCACTCAGCACCGAGCAGCACACCTGTGAGATGGGGAAACAGAGGCACGAGCAGCCAGGCGCCCTTTGCTGCCGCTCTGTGGAGCCTGCCTGGTCCCGCCTGGATGGCCAGGGACTGTGAGCTCAGTGTGACCGGCCATGTGGCCTCAGATCTTCTCTCTAATGAGACGATGTCCTCAGCTCCGAGAACAAGGAGGGGCCCCACTCGGTGTGGCTGCACGGAAGTCACGGGCACCATACTTTCTCGGGAGGGACGTGCTCTCACACTGCTCTTGGGGCCTCGGGGTGATCATGGCCAGGAGTTTGGGGCCGGCCTCGGAGACAGTTGTCCCTCCCAGTGCACCAAAGACCCATCTTCTGAGCGAAACAAGTACTCACTGGACTCAGGCCTTCCAACAGCACCAAGAACTTGCCCTGGGCCGGGGGGGGTGGTGTCTCAGTTCTTCCAGGACCAGTGTCTCCACACGTGGGGGCTCCTGGCCCCTCTTGCTGCACTGAGTCTCCGCTTCCTGCAGCAAGGCCAGGATTCTGGCACATTCTGAGTTCAGGCCTCTGTACAGAAGGGCTCTCTGCATGTGCGGGTCTGGGCTCTGTCCATGGGGGAGGCCACATTGACCTCTGGACACCCAGCCCTGACCTCCTATCAGCTGCTTGAGCTGTTCATTCAACTGAGGGTGGTGACCTTCCTCTCAGAAAGTTGCTTCTGACGCAGAGGTGGGCGGCTGGTGCTTTCTGCGAGGGGTGGCTAACCACCCCCAGACCGTGGGGCTTCCAGCCCAGGGTCTGCCTCGCCAGGGAGGGCGGCCCGAGGGGGCCGAGCCCACCCTGCTGCTTGGAAGAAGAAGGCTGGCTGCTCCCACTGTGCTGAACAGCCAGTGTCCAGGGTCCTGGGGCCCCACGCCCAGGGCGTGTGCCTGGGGGTGGCCTTTCTCTGCACCTGCTGGCCTCAGGACGTGGCAGCCATTCGTGAGAGAAGAGGAAACGGTCTGTGGAGGACGGTGGGGCTGCCTCAAGGCCGGCCTCACGGTGGATGGAATCAAAGGGTGCCGGCCGGCCGGGGTGTCAGCGCGGCGACGGGGCCAGCACAGTGGGGCTCGGGGAAGCTCCGCTGCTGACGTCCCTTTGTCCGTGGGGAGCGGCCAGCTCAGGTATTAGGTGGCTGGCGTGGCTCAGGCCAGACTTGCCTCCTCTCAGAACGTTTTGGGGAGTTTTGTGAGTGCCTGCTTTCCAGCCGCCGCAAGGCTCCTGGGAACCCTAAAGCAGAAGCCTGTGATGCTGGAGACGCGTTTCCGGGTGAGAGCACAGCCTGGCCCTGGCGGGTGCAGGACGCGGGCGGCTCCGGTGCACTCAGCATCCAGGCTCGCAGAGCGGAATCAAACCGGCTCTCCCGTTGCTGTGGCAACCGGCCCCCCGCCCCCAGGGCGTCAGTTTGCATTTGTGCAGACCATTTCTAACAAAGATTTGCCTCAACAGATTCATTCTGCCCTGAAGTGGAGCCTAGTTTGAGACCCAAACAATGAAATTAACCAACTTGTCGGGCTCCCAAGGAGGACCCAGGCCGCTGCCCAAGGTCGCGTGGAGGTCACAGGACATTTTGTGACACTTCTCACTGACCGTTCAGTCGGCGGGCAGCCGCAGGGTTTTGCCTCGGGAAGTTGTCCCGCGGGGTCGGCTCCAGGGTCACCGGAAGTCTGAGCAGGCTCTCCTGGGCTCCTGGGCCCCGGGCCCTGTGCAGACTCGGGGGGCGGGGGGCACACAGCAGCCTCTGGGCGGCTCTTGCATGTTTAGTCTTGTCTCCCTCAAATCATATCTCCTCCCCCTTCTTAGTCTACTGACCCCCGGAGGGTCCTTCAGGGTGTGTCCAGGAGCGGACACTGGGGGTAGGGGGTCTGGGGGCCTGACTCAGGGAGAGGGTGCAGGGAGAAGCTCTGGTCCAACTGAGCGCACACAGGCCCCCGACTGCCTGGAGGAGGCTCCCAAACTGAGGAGGAGCAGCTGGGATGCCGTTGGGGACCAGGTGGGGGGGGCGGGGGGCATTCTCACTGGTCCCGTAGCAGTGGGGGGTCACGGTGGCCTTGGGGGGGAGGGCAGCCCTTGGCTCCACAGGAATGTTTGATGTGCCGGGACTTTGCTCTGACTCCTGAGGCCAGGCTGCCGCCCTCTGGGCCCCTCACCCCTTCTCTGGAGCCCTCCTACTGGGCTCTGCTAACCCCTCAGCACGTGGGGTGTGGGGCGTGGGGGCAAACAGGAAGCATGGCCACACCGGAGAGGGGTCCACAGCGCATCTCCAAAGGGTGAGGACACCTGGCCCAGCCCAGCGGGGGCGCCTGCAGCCTGTCCGCCCGGGGGGAGCACGCGGTGGGAACGCGCAGTCTGTGACTTCCTTGTGTGTGGGACCGGGACGCGGCTGGGCTCCCGTCAGGAACCGTAAACTCGGAATGCTAGCCGGATGGCGGTCTCAGGGCACGCACAGGTGCAGGCGCAGGTGAGCAGGACACAGTCTGCCGTCCACGGGCTCTCTGTGGCCGGTGACCCCACGCTCTCCATGAGCCTCCCCTGAGGACGCTGGGCTGCACAGATAGTCACGGTGAGCCCGGTGCTCTGCATGGAGTTGGAAAGGGGACCCCGTCGGGGCCTGGGGTAGGACACGGTGGCCACACGGGCTGCACCCAGGGGTGCTGTCATGACCAGGAACTCAGGGACCCCACCCACGCCTCCTGGGCTGAACGGTGGCCCGGACCCCCAGCCACAGGCACGGGGCGAGTCTGCTGTGGGGCACTTTGCACACGGCAGCGCGTTCGTGGGGTAAATGCAGGTCACCTCGGGGCTGGGGCCGCCGCGGGGGACGGCAGAGCACCAGCCTGGCGCTGGCCCTGTGGAGACGGGAGGGGTGCGTCTCCCGCCGACGTGCAGCTGTGCTAACCAGGGCCTCTGCGTGGGCGCTTCCCGCCCAGCCGGTGTTGAGGCTGCACACGGCGTCAGGCCAGAGCAGGCCGCGCGGTGCCCGACTGGATGTCCCTGTGCCGCGCAGGGCGCAGCCCCGCCCTGGCGAGCAGCCCGGAGACCGGCCGCGGGGCAGCCCACCCGGCTCCAGCCTCTGGGCGCCGCCATCCGGCCCGCTTGGCCTGCGCGGGCCCTGGGGCACGTGGCCCTGCCAGCCTGCGGGCCCCGCGCG